GTGTGGCCCCGGCCTCCGGGGGGGAATCGGGACGTTGGGCACCCTATCAGTGACGCTAGCAACGCCTTTGCACAGCCTACCTTCAAGTACCACATTGCGGAGAGGAGGATGTGCAAGCTGGATGGTGGTCCAGTGGTGCGGTAATCGTAGGGCATTGGCAACATCGAGGTGGTGGTGCGCCGCTCTGCCTGGCAGGAGCGTAAAGGCCTGCATGCCTTGTTCGTGCACAAGGCAGACCTGCGTTGCCCGATTCCACGCACCATCCGCCGGTATGGCATCATCCTCGGCCCAGTGTGCTAGGCTGACAAGCATGTGGGCGAGCTCTGGTGCATGTGGAGATGGTGTTCCCTGCCTGTGGAAGCTAACGACTCCGTAGGGGTCCAGTGGTAGCTCCCCGTCCTCAGCCAAAGGCTGCCCAGCACCGAACGGATAGATATCATATCGCATGTCCGGTTCGAGGCCAGCCTTGGCTATAAGACCAGCGTACGTCACACGCTGCGGCATGTCTACAGCGAAGACCCTGCCGTCCAACTCTCGGAGTTCGAGGATACAAAGTGGCTCTTCTTGGGCCCATGCAGGAAGGGCGATGATAGTACCCCAATTAGGGGAGAGCTGCTGTTTGGCTGGTACCAGCTGTGAAAACAAGCTGTAGAAGTCATTGTCTAAAGAAAGAGACAATGCATCCAGGGCTGCCTGGGTTGTCGCTGGCCGTTGGAGTCTTACACTGACCGTCTGGGAGGCATGATGCCTCGTGAGGACGAAGAACCGCGCAAGGTATGTGGGGGCATGATCAGACACCTCAGAGGTCGACTCTGAACCAGCCCGATCGGGCTGTGGTTCGGCGCGAAAGGCATGGACAACTGCATTTGTGTCCCTCGTATGGGCAGCCTGTTGCATGGCCTCAGTGATAGCCTGGATCCAGTATGGGCTGGGCGCGAAGGCTAGGAGGGGCGGCCCGCGACCAGCACCCTCCTGCCAGGAAACTTCGATGAAGCAACATCCAAGGCTTGGTGGCTCGGCCGTGGCTAGAACCCGAAAATCAAGACAGTGGAAATGATCATCAGAAACTCCAAGGCTGGCAGCCAGTTGGGTCGGGCTATGCTCCCAGGTCACCGTGTGGAGCACGTGGAGACCTAACCCAATAGGTCGAGCATCGAATACCAGCGTGAAGGGAACCTGGCTGAACTTAGCAAGCAGAAAGGAGGTGGAGGCTGCCACGACCAGGCAGTGACAGGGCTCTCCAAAGACATCAAGGTCTGAGAGGCCAGCTAACGTCCTGAGGTAGAGATCCTCATCGACTACGCCTAAGATCTGTCCGATCCTAGAGCGGGCGTTGACACTATTCAGATGCCTTCCCTCAAATGGTCTTACAGAGCCGCGCGTGTGGACGGCAAAACCGGGGAGTAGGCATTCGCAGGAAACGTGATGCAGGCTGGTCCATTGTGCATCAGGGGCAAAGAGCTGACTAATAGAAGTGGGTGGCCCCGGCTCAGTGCCTGTTGGTGTGACCTGTATAACATCCCCATGTTCCAGCATAAATGTGGCATGTGGCGACAGTCCGCGTCGTTGGTGTCCGACCCAGATGTTCCAGTCGGCAGCTGCGCCACCAGTAACCTCTTCGATTCTTTCGCACAGTGTCTCCCACGAGCAAGGGTTGGGCAGCACTGTGGCGAAGTATTGGTCGTGGACCTGTGAGAGGTCAAGAATGACCGCTCTAAGACGCAATGAATCGAGACAGCCTGGGAACGCAACAAACATGGCTGTACCTGCGTATCTCTGGGGGCTTATAGGTGCAAGGCGATCAAGATGCTGGTGGAGAGTGGTGTAATGTCTGGCCGCTTGCTTGAGGGTCGCAATGAGGGTAGGACAAGGTCCCATCTTCAAGCCAAACGAGATCCTACGAAAGCCTGAGGCATAGACCTCAATCCCCAACCAGGTTTTTGAAGGGACATCGGCAAAGTGTTCAGGTGGCAAGGGCAACGGCAGAGTATCAACACCTGGGAGCGGGCAGTAGGCAAAACGCCGGCCTGTACTCTGAGCATGGAGCTGATCGCGCTGAGGAAGTGGCTCTGGTAGCCCGAGGATGATCCTGTCCGCAGAGGCCAGAGCACAGTGATAAGGCCCGGCGGAGAGGCAAACACCTGAGAAGGCAGGTTGGCAAGCGCCAAGAAGAGCAGAACCTTTTGGCCTAGACCTGTGCCTGACCTCAAGGACATCCGACGTGGGTGCTGTCGGGGGGGGGCGTGCCACGCCAGGATCGGAACAGTCGTCCCAATGCGCCCAACCATCAGCGTGGCTCCTTTGCTGAGAGGCCGTGACTGGAGTAGGAAGAGCCTACCCAAGGGGGACCGGTGAAATCCTAGCTGGCACAACAAAAGCCGGTTCAAGGCAAGGTGTAAAAAGAGCAAAAGGCCAAGAAGAAGGGAAATGGCCTGTGCTGACAACCACGTGTGCCAAAAGCCTCCTACAGGTTGGTACCCCAGAGCCACCGATGTACCTATTAGGCACCTGAAAGAAAGCGCTCTGGCTATGCAGGGCTGGGCGGAGCACAAAGAGCTCAACGCCGCTAGGCGAAGGCGCTTTTCCCAAGCAGGAGTCGAAAAGTGCAAGGGAAGCGCCGAGAAAGACGAAATTCCAGGCAGCGAAGGAAAAGACCTGGGAAAACGATGGCGGTTGAAGAGGGGCCGTACAGCCCCAACAAAGCCTTGTGACCTGTCGCAAGTTCCCGCCCCTGAGCCACCGATGCGGGTATTTGGCACCTTGCGAAAAGATCGAAACATTGAAAACGGCCAGCGACCGGACCCACAACAGAGATGTGTAGGCATTGAAGCTGGCACGGTTATGACGTATCCCGTTCTCATCAACCAAAACTCGGGATATCTGGCCGGGCTGCCAAAAGAGGCGCGTCCTTCTATCAACCACCTAGGGGGGAGCAGGACTAACCCAAAAAGCGGCAGGGATAAGGGAGGCCTTGTCCGTGCTAGAAAAGCACGCAACACATAGTGTAAAGCGGCCTCAATTGCAGTGTGGCGTGGGCAGGTTATGGCAAAAATCCAGGGCGCCAAACCAGCCGAGGAAGAACAAGTCCACACAAACGGGCGTCCAAGAATGGCATGGAGAGAAAAGCCAGGACGGATATGAAGAGCACCGAGACCAGCGGGCCCACCGAAAACAGAGATAGTGCAGTACCTCCGTAAAATCCAAGTCAAAGGAGCCTGCCGAAAAGAAAATCTTTGTACAGGCAAAAGGCGGAAGTGAGACCGAAAGGGTCTAGAGCTTATCGCCACAGCCAGTTGTGGAGAGTAGCATTGACCAGGAGGAAACTTGCTCCAGGAGATCCACCCAAAGGAAATCACAGGAGCCGGTCCCCCAAGCCTGCAAGTCCCCAGAACTGACCGTAGAGAGATCTCCGACCTTTTCCTACCATTCGAGTAAAGATCTCGCATCCGCCAAGAAGAGCTCATCCGTCGAGGTTGCCAAAGCCTGGACTCACATCTAGCGACTCGTCGTCGTCGAGCAGAAGCCCCGGGCGGGCAGCTGGGCTGGCATGAGAAATCGAAGAATCCGCTTGACCAGGTGGAGCAACACCAAAAGGGTGCAGAGCGCGCCTCTTGGCATCGAGCTTGTCCTGCATATCGGGCCCTCGGAGCGGTTCCACAACAGCAGCGGTTTTGCTCGTCTCCTTGATGCTCTTGCGTCCCACTGAGGGAGTCTTCGGTATCTGTCCAGTCCCAACTGGGCTCAAGCCCGGAGGAGCTGTATTCGCAGCTGGCATTGCTCCGCAAGGAGGAGAAGGAGCAACACCTAGGTAAGGGTCGTCCGGAAATGCAGCTGCATGTGCTACCTCCATGTCCATGGGTGGGCGTGAGGCTGGTGTCATAGGAGGGACTCCAGTGCCTCGGGCAGGGGTATGTGCGGGCGCCATCGCTCGCTGCAAGACCTGCTGAAAGGAGGCGTCGTCCTCCCGCGTCCAGTCTGCAAAGACCTCGTCGACGGTCGGCAAACCTTTGCTCTCCTCCGGCAAAGCCATGACCGTGTCGGCGGCCATGGCGCGTCTGATGGCCACACGAGCATCCTCCTGGGCGGCCAAGGCTTCTTCGAGCTCCTTGCCCTGCCTCTGCTGTTCCTTGTGGAACTTCGTCCGCTCCCTGCGGAAGTTCTCCTTGGCCTTCAGTTCGAAGGCTGCCCACTTGTCCTGCGTCGCCTTGTAGCCTTGGCGAAGCTTGGCGACCCTCAATTCCGCCCTTCTCGCATGGTTGACCGCCTGCTGCACCAGGGGCACCATTGCGTCCTCCCCTTCCAAGTCGACAATCTGACCATGTGACTGTCCTTTGGGCAACGGGATGGACTCGTAGGTCGGGAATGAAGCGCCTCTCCGAGACTCCTCTGTCCTCCAGGGCGCTGCTCTCTCTCGCATTGCCGGCGACCAAGCACCACGCCAGAGCTGCGAAGACGCATCGGATCGCCATGTCGGATCCTGGTTCTTGCGGCCTCTGCCCATAACACGGTCACCCAGAAGAAGACGCCGGAAGTGGGGGTCCGTGGCGTGGTGGACCAGTAACGCAGCACGCTGCTTCGCCTGTAGCGGAGCTCCGGAGCGCCAGACGCGGCGGGCCTTGGACCGCACCGCTCTGCGCTTGCGATGCCACGCTGGGGAGCTTCTATGCGTGATGGCACAAGCTCTACCCTACGCGCTATTAGCGCTGGGGCGCAGTTTTCCGACGCTGATGTCGGCGATCTGAGCCCTTAACAGTACTATTGGTAATTATTTAGTCTCCTATATTCAACCTTAAATCCGATACATTCCAAGGCCAAAGCCCTACCCCGGCCCTTTCCTTCAAGAAGCGTCAAGCCTAAACCCAAAACCTAAACCCTAAACCCCAAACCCGAAACCCTAAACCCAAAACCCGAAACCCTAAACCCGAAACCCCAAACCCTAAACCCTAAACCCAGGACCCTAAACCCTAAAAACCCTAAACCCTTTAAAGCGTCATGCGGGCCTGCCCCGCCAACGCGAAGACCTGCACGGAGAGAGCGATCACCTTTGGGCGGCCGCTCTTTTGGGGGCATTTTTGGACTCATGGGGTTTAGGGTTTAGGGGTTTAGGGTTAGAGTTTAGGGTTTAGCATCATGACAATCCGGTTGAGGGCTGAGGGTTCCGAGTTGTAGTTGAGACTTATAAACCCTAAATCCTAAACCCTATAGACCCTAAACCCTAAACCCTAAACCCTAAACACTAAACCAGAAAACCTCATCGATAAAGCTCGAGGGCTTGGGTTGCTATGTCCATGTCCAAGGTCCATTGTTTTCTCCGGCTTTTTCTGGTGTCAGGCAGCCGGAACCCTGTGTTCTGGGTTCTTGCGTTTTTTCATGCAGTCGGACTCCTGTGTCCTTGTTCCTTGCAGTCGGACTCCTATGTCCTGGCTTGTTGTTAGCGCTGGTCCAATTGGTTTCATGCGGTCGGACTCAGGGGGATCGGATTCGGCGTTGTTGCTCCGAGACGCATTATCTCATGCTGTCGTGATCCCATCTTCTCAGTTTGCTTCGGCTGAGACGGACGAACTCGTGGGGTCTTGCCGTGCTCCGGATTGGATTGTCCCACAGAGTCGGACTCCTATGCCGTGAAGTCTTCTTTACTCCCTGCAACCGAAAGGGAGACCCTTCCTGCGGCGGGAGCTGCCCCATGGCCCATGAACCATCACGAACCCACTTGTGCAGAGCAGCCCTTTCAGTCTTCGATGGCTGTCATACAAGGGCGTGAGGCGTCACTCTCCGTCATGCTGCAGCGGCCTCAGGCTGTCATGGCATCTGGACATCTCCTGTCCATGCGATCGAACTCGAGCTTCCGGCGGATGTCATCTGACATGCAGAACTCTCTACACACTGCCCTTACATCATCAATCTGAGCTTGCAGCCCGGATCCCTATGAAGCAACGACACTCGCATCAACTCACACTTAAAGTCCCCTGGGGCCGACGGCTTCACGCACCCTTCGAACACAAACACCCTGAGCAAAGCGCGTCCGTGCGGCACCGACACCAGGGGTACGTGGCAGCACGACCCTGTACACTACACCCAAAGCCTGTAACTTCCTGTAACTTCCTGTAACTTTCTGGTGTTCCTTTAGGGTTTGGGGTTTACGACCCCCCCCCCCCTGCTCTTCTTTCAGCCCGGTGGCCAGCGCCGTGGTTCCCACTGGCCAGTCGAAAACAACGTGGTTCAACCAAATGTCCCCCACGAAGTACACCTCGTCAACGCCAGCTTTCTCAACGGATTTCGCAGGCTTTCTCGACCCGCCGCTTGGTCTACAGTATATCATCGCATCTAGCAGCATAGTCTGCAGTATGGTATATACTAACTCTAGCATGTGTGTACATTATACTAATATTGTAGGATGTCATGGTACATTACCCTGAGGCTCATGGACCCCCATAGTGAAAGCCCAAACCTGAGCCCCCAAGGCCCAAACCTTCCCCTAGAAAGCCCATAACAGCAATAAGAGCCTTAGGGAGGACCCTAAGCCCCAAACCCTAAACCCTAAACCCGTAAAGCCCTAAAACCCTAAACCCTAAAGCCCATAACAGCAATACGAGCCTTAGGGAAGACCCTAAACCCCAAACCTTAAACCCCAAACCCTGAAACCCTCCCATGATAGCCAGAAAAGCCTTGGGGGCATTGTGCGGAGCTGAGGAGTTTTTAGAGCTGGGCTCCTACCCACCGCACCCACCGTCCCGAGGCTCAAAACCAGAACCAGCAATGTGGCCACACTGCAGCAGCTGTCTGACCGACATCTCTTTAGGGTTTAGGGTTTAGGGTTTAGGGCTTTATGGGTTTAAGGTTTAGGGTTTAGGGTTTAAAAGAGGGCTTAGAGTTCGTCGCAGCTCCAGATTTCTGAATTCCCGAGACTCCACCGATAGCCCCCATGCAATGCCCAACTACTCAAGTCATGACGAAGAAGCGATGAGCAAAGAGAGCTGCTGTGCGCTGGAGCGGATGACGGTGGAGAGGCGTTTGGCAACGAGACCTTTTAGCAGGATTTGAGTTGGCTTTTGTAACTGAAGGGCTTTATCAGCCCAGAGACTCCAAAACCCTTTAATTAAGGAATATACCTTAAATTATAATAGGATCCCTAATATGATTTAAGGTATATTCCTTAATTAAGGGGTTTTGGAGCCTCTGGGAGTATAAGGGGATGGGGTATAGGATAGGGGCCTTGTTACTTTTGCTACTGTATTCATATTCTGACATCTATATCCATATAGCTAAACCTTTGGACTTATCGTTCGGCTGGCTGGGGTTTGGTGCTTGGGATTTGCTGTGCTTCAAAGACCAAATGACCCTTATAAGTAGGGAGCCCTATACCGTATACCCTTATACTATGAATCTCAAAAACGTACCTGAACCCTAAACCCTAAACCCTGAACCCTAAGCCCTAAACGCAAAACCCTAAACCCAAAGCCCTGAACCCTAAGCCCTAAACCCACAACCCAAAACCCTGAACCCTTACTTAACCCGAATTGTTTTAGCACATGGCAACCTGGCCAACTGCTGCTGCGGCTCAGCGCTAGAGTCCGCTAGAGACGACCCTGCTAGACGAAACGTACCCTGGGCCTCGAAACAGCCCAAAGTAGGTACGACGGTTGATGATATAAATCTTGCATTCCCCATAATAAGGAATATACCATAAGAACCATAGTTTAGGGTCCTTAAGGTAATGCAGATTTATATCATCAACAGAATTTATAGACTCTAGACCCCAAAGTAGGTACTATTCCTAGAAAGAGTTTAAGGTTCAGGTACTATGTGGGGATTCGTGGCATCAGGGTATGTGGCCCACTACTTTCAACCGCAGCACGACGACAGTAGGCAGGGTGATGGTGGAAGGTCCGACGTGCCAGTGCCTCTATACCCCGAAGTTGCCCGATAACCGTATAATGATAATAAGGACCCCCCCAAAAAATAGTAGAGGTATTTATTTAGGCAATATGTTAAGCCCTGAATCGCCAAAACGCCAAGAACCAGCACTTGCAGGGCAAAAAGACTCCCAGCCCAAGCCTGCAAGCCAGTTCTGGAGAAGGGTCACCACCAACACCAGGACCTCCAAAGGCAGCACCCCCGCCCCCCCTTTTCCCCTACGGTTTGGGGTGTAGGGTTTAGGGTTTAGGGTCTAGGGCGTACACCGTATAATCAAGAAGCCTTAAGCTCCATCAAAGAGAAGTCTCCATGATCATCATGATCATGAGAAAGCAGGATTCGTCAGCTTTGGTTTTACCCTCCTCTTGCCAAAATCTATGCGAGTGAGCGAGGGCAGGCCCCTAAACCCTAAACCCTAAAACCCTAAACGCTAAACCCTTAACCCTAAAACCGAAGGATATCGGAGTCTCTGGTGATCACGGCTTCGTAGTTGCAGCCTTGACATATTGTGGGGCATTCCAGATGCGCGTGGCGATGTCGTGGCGACGGGTTCTAAGGCTTCGGGCCCGGACCTAAGAAAAGGTTAAGGTTTAGGATTTGGGGTTTAGGGTTTGGGGCGAATCTGTCGCCTGAACAACGCTGCATCACTGACCCATTACTGCCAAATGACAGGCAAGCCCGAGCGTCACTGCATGATCCACTAGTTTCACAAAACCAGCACGACACACCCGTTCACCACCCCGCGGGCCATCCGAGCATCCCAGGCCACGAAGATGCCTGCCTCCATCCTGCGGGTGGCAAGTTTCAAATACTTCTTTGAATGACCCACCTCCTCTGCAGATTGGCTTCTAGATACAATGGAGGCTTGATGCAGCGTGAATGCTAAAGTGTCAGTGAGATCCAATCTAGACCCCAAACCCAAGGCCCTCAACCATGTGTCAGGACCTGTGGAGTTCCTTCAATGCGGAAACCCTGACTTAGAAAAGGATCCTACAATCTACAATCCAACGTACCTGCCCCCCTCCGTCCAATAAGGGGCGCAAGGAGCCTCTGCTTTGGCTTAGGATCTCGTCATAATGCGCTTCTTTAGGATGAGGAAGTGTATTCCTAGTGGTCCCTGCTGCTGCAAGACCCCTCAAACAACCTACACATGTGTATATATACTATATAAATATGCGTGCATATATATATATATATACACACTTTACGTACACATACAGATATGGTATTTCTTCAGGACAGATAGAGACCTTGACACCAGGAATGCTTTGAGCTATACACTTTCGCTGAGATAGTTCGACTCACAGTGACGGCACCTGACATGTCATTGCTCACGAAACTTACGCGACCAAACCCTAAACCCTAAACTTGCCCTAAACCTCGCCAGGAACCCTGAACCCTAAACTCTAAACCCTGAACCCTAAAACCCCGTCAGCATGCGGCGCATGAGCTCTCAACTTTCAAGACTATGCAGGTCTTGGCCCGAAGCCCTACTTGGGAGGTTCTAAAAATAGAGGGGACCCTAATATAGGGTTTAGGGTTTAGGGTTTAGGGTTTAGGGTATATAGTACCCTAAATAGTAGGATCCTTACTATAAGGACCCCCAAATAAGGTACCCTAATTTCGGAAACTCCCACTTGGAGGTTCATCTTAAGCCCACACCTGCAACTGTAGAGTCGGCAGGCCCCAACCCACATCGCTCTGGGGTTTAGGGTTTTAGGGTTTAGGGTTTTAGGCTTTTAGGTTTTTAGGATTTAGGGTTTAGGGTTTTAGGCTTTTAGGTTTTTAGGATTTAGGGTTTAGGGTTTAGGGTTTTAGGGGTTAGGGCTTAGGGACCTTTATGACATGATTAACCCGGGCCTGCACATGCCCAAAGGTAGGTATTGTGTATACACTTGAGACCCCCAAGTAGTTACTAAGTAGGGACAGTTTTGTATACTTGGACACGTAGGGTAACTTCAATGTTAAATGTAACAGACATAAGGGTTCAAGTTCAAGTGGCAAAACTCCATACGACTTTAAGTACCCCAAACCATACCAAACGTGATGTCTGGGATCTGACACCGTGCTGAACGGGAACATGGACCGCTGTGCGAAGAGAAATGGGCGCAAGCTTCCAGTCATTGCCATGATGTTGCGAAAACATCCCAAATCGGGTATCTCAACATCGAAAATGTCAGGGCTCCGAGCCCTGCACGTGGGGACTCTCCTAGGCATCGTGGGGTTTGTATAGATTGTTATGCAAAACTTACGAGGATTGGTGTAGATTCGGAAACCCTAAACCCTAAACCCTAAACCCTAAACCCTAAACCCTAAACCCTAAACGGTTGTTCTGACGTTCTGCAAAGCCAGCATCAGCATCAGGGGTCTTGCGCTTCTCGCCCCGGCTTGCACCCTGTCGCTCTGGACTGAGGGAGCCGAGGTTTAGGGTTTAGGGTTTAGGGTTTAGGGTTTAGGGTTTAGGGTTTAGGGTTTAGGGTTTTGTTTGAATTGCTGGGTTCGGGGTGGCTCCTTTGCCGACTGACAGCCCCTAAGTATGTAGCAACTGATGCTGGGACCCATCAAAAACCAAAACACATCCCTACTCTTCTAGAGGACCTCTGTTTGGGCTACAGTGGGGGCCGGGGGTGGTATCGAGGATGTCCGCAGCTCCTCCCGTCCACATCTCGACTCTTCCAGAAGGCATCGTTTGGCCGCTGGCTTGCCATGCCACAAACGAAGAGCATGATCACCTTGGCTCCGGCTGTAAAGCTTATCTGGGCCTTCATGAACTGTATCTTTTGAGGATAAGCTGCATATGTGATCATAACGGTTTGACCGTATGACAGTAAGGTAGCCAAGGCAAAGAACCACACGTCAGGTTCTAGGCACTCCTTCAACAGCCGCGGAACGATCTCAAGCCTCATCTGTCGGAGCCTTCTACCTGTCTCCGAAGCAAGTTCCCGGGATGCCGGGAGGAGATCTGGGGAGAGGCAAGAAATGCAGAATTTCGATGATTCTGGGTGTTGAGCAAATTCCCATATTTCAGAACGGCGCCCCAAAGCAATGCTGGCAGCGAGCAGACGTGATGAAACTGCCGATGTCCAAGTTCACCTTCTGGATGTAGAACGGGCTGCTGCCGGCCTTGCAATCCAAGACAGAGATCCTACACCCCAAACCCGAGCCCTACACCCTAAACCCTAGCCCTACACCCTGGACCCTGGCCCTACTACACCCTAAACACGAGCCCTACACCCTAAACCCCAAAAGGCTCGTCAGCCAAGACTCCCAGCCTACGGAGCCCTTCTTGGGGCTTCTGGTTTTTGGGTTTAGGGTTTAGGGTCCGAATTCCTTCCAATCTAGGTGTCCCTGGTTTTTTTCGCTTGCTTCTTCACCTGAGCCCGAAACCCTAAAAACTAAAGTCCTAAACTCCTTAACCTTAAACCCTAAACCCCTAAACCCCTAAACCGAAAGCTGCTAAAGGCTGGTATTTTGGACAGGTACGCTCAGGCTGCAGGCTGAAAAGACTTGGCAAGCAGAGCTGACACCTTTGCAGGTTTAAGGTTTCGGGTTTAAGAGATTATGACTGAGGGGCTGAGTACCCAAGCCCAAAAAAGGTTAACCTTTTGAACTATAGTAGGATTATACAAGCCCCAAAAGGTTAAAGGTTACCTACTCAGCCTCTAAGATGAGTTTAGGGTTTAGGAGTTTAGCAGTTTAGGGTTTAGGGTTTTAGAAGTTTGGGGTTTAGGAGTTTAGGAGTTTATGGCTTAGGGTTTAGGATTTCGGGCTTAGGGTTTAGGAGATTAGGATAGGAGTTTAGGAGTTTAGGAGTTTAGGGTTTAGGGTTTCAGGGCTTGGGCATTAGAATTTGGGGTTGGGGTAATCAGGACCTCTGGCGCCTAATGGCCCCCAGTAGCAGATATTTCGGGTCTACTAGAGGCTAGATATTACAGAGGGTCAGGGGCACTTGTATAGCTGGCGACTGTCTCAAACTCCAACAAACCCGGTTTTCGCAGATTTAGGGAGCTGTTCAACCCTCTACACTCCGAACATGTCCTAAACAAGAAACCTGAAGACACAACTGACATGCTACCTCAGACGCCAGGCCTCTTGAAAGCCATAGCAAACAAACAGGGTTTAGGGTTTAGGGTTTAGGGTTTCAAGCTTAGGGTTTAGGGTTTAAAGTTTAGGGTTTAGGGCCCTTCCCTAAGCCCGAAACCCTTGCCCTGAATACAGACCTTCTGCTCCCAGAGACTCCTAAACCCCTTAATTAAGGAATATACCCAAAATCATATTAGGGATCCTATTATAATTTAAGGTAGATTCCTTAATCAAGGGGTTTTGGAGTCTCCGGGTGCTCCTCAATACAGTGGGCAGTTAGATCGGAACCCTGGCAGCCCAGGTTAGATCGGAACCCTGGCAGCCCAGCTGGGCTCAGGGTACGTTCAAAAGTCTGAAAAACAGAGGGTTTTACACAGGTTTAGGGTTGAGGGTTTAGGGTTTAGGGCTTCAGCTTAAGGTTTATAGGGTTTAGGGCTCAGGAGCTTTGGAGTTTAAGGTTTAGGGCCAAGTTTAGGGTTTCAGGATGGGTCACCGGGCTTCTTGGGAAAGGACCTTCATGATCTTCTCAGAAAGCATGGAGGCCAGGCAGGACATGCAGACCTCGGGTCGGCGCAGAGACCATGTTGACTCACGGCTCCGACCCACATGACTAGGGTTTAGGGTTTAGGGTCTAGGGCTCCTTCTTCTGGTAGCTTTGAACTTCACACCCCCAAAAAACAGAAAGCCTTCCATATAACCCGATATTAAAGCCCATGGAGATCTGTCACTTAGGGCTTCGTGTCTTCGGAGCGCCGCTGATCTAGAAGGCTCTTACTTCAGAACCCGCGGGTCAGGTTCCTATAGCATCCTATAGCCTTGGTTTGGGTCTGATGGAGGTTTAGGGTTTAGGGTTTAGGGGTTTAGTGTTTTTTTTAAGGGGTTTAAGGGTTTAGGGTTTAGGCTTGGGGATTTAGGGGTTTAGGGTTTTGGGGTTTCGGGGGGGAGGGGTTTGGGGGTTTACGGTACTTTCGGGTTTTGGGGGTTTTATGGCTGAGGAAACCTGGGTCAACCACGGGGATGTAGCAAGTGTTGAGAGACCACCGTCCGGCTCAAGGTCACAAGTGGCAATGGCTGTCCTACTTGGAGGATGGTTGGTTATAAGTGGGGTTATAAGTCCCCTAATATGGGTTATAAGTATAGTTACCCTACTTATAACCCCACTTAGAACTACCCATGAACCTCCAAGTAATATACTACTACGTACTGTTGATGATATAAATCCTGCATTACCTTGACTTGAGGACCCTAAACTTTGAGAACTATGGTATATTCCTTACATGCGTAATGCAGGATTTATAGCATCAACCGTACCATGGGTTTGGGGAGCTAACCAAGAGGGTCCATATATACTACTATTAGGCAATTAGGTCCCCAAAACCATAGTAGGGATGGTCTTTTGGGACCTAATTCCATAATGGTGGTGTATATGGACCCTCTGGGTAATTCCATAATAGTAGCCACGCTCTAGGTTCATCAAACCCAGCGAGTTTGTGCCCCTGGACTTGACGGGCTCGACTGTACTTCCCAAGGGGTCCAACCTACCTATAGAGTAGACTGCAGGGTCTCTATCAAAGTAGGAATCCTTACGATGATTTGGGAAAGTGCCCCCCGTAACAGTATCTGGGACCTGTTGGGCTCCCAGAGAATGCAGGGAAGCAGCAGAGAGAATCACGTAGAGGATCCCCGTTGAGAAGATGTGGGACGACACTTCGCCTGCACGTTTGCTATGCCGTACAGCAGAGGTCTGAATAATTCGGGTTTAGGTTCTAGGAATCAGGGTTAGTAGTCGAGTATCCACTGCCCCCGAAATTATTGCTAAACTGTAGACCCTGATTAAGAACCCTCTCTCCCTTAAGAGGTATAACACCACGCATCCCTGCGTTGAAGCTTTGAAAACATGGGGGTTCGTGATTCGGCGGTCTACCGTACTAGAATTTTCCCCCTTGGTGATTGCGTAAACCCTAGCCAGACTTTGCAATATCCTGCAAGTAAGGAATGTACCTTGACTTACAGTAGTCCCTAGTACGATTTAAAGTGTATTCCTTAATTCTCATAGTATCCTTCTAGAAGCCCCTCAGAAACCCTTATGGATCAATCTAAAGAGCCTTTTTGAGATATTGCCTGAAGCAGCAGAGTCATCGCCATCCGTTTTGCAGACCCCTCCGCCCGACACGGACATGCAAAGGAGGCTGTCAAAAGTCGTGAGATCTGGACACCGGAGATAGACACTGAAACTCCTTAACCCTGTGAGCCGTGTGTGTGTGTATATATGTATATAGAAAACATGCTTCAAGGATAAAAGAGAGAGAGAGAGATATAAATATATATATTCTCATATACATATGTGTATCTATATATATATATATGTCTATACTAATACATATGTACTTGTGTATATATATATATATGGCATTATATATGTATTGCCGGCCTGAGGGAGATTGCTGCAGCAGCACGAAGACGCTGGCACTAAGCATCAACGCCTTAGAGGGCACCCCATGGACAGTGCCGCCGGACCATGCAGACAGCAAGTTGCAGCCCCTTTGCTTGGCAAGCTTGCCTGCAGTTACTAAACGTCCTTAACCATAAAACGGGATATCCGAAAAAGTATTGCAAACCCATGTCGAAAAGCTATTCGTTGTGCATTATGTTCAAGACCGGGGCTGTTATGAAGGGTGCTATTCTGGGCTTGTTTGGGCGGGATCCCCAAAAGCTCTGAGTACACCTGCATGCCGAAGCCATAGAGGCATCATCGGAAAAGCCGAAACCCTGAACCCTAAACTCTAAATAAACCCAATCCCTGAGATGGAAGGACCGGTTTTTGTGGGCGTTCTTTTTTTTGGAAAATTGCAAGCATGGCGCGACTTGTCCGGGGCCCGTGTACTTGGAGGATCATGGGACTTAGTAAGTCAGATTTTGGTACCTTACCCTAAGGGTCCATGTACGTACATGGTGTAGACTTTGGCCTTACTGAAAGTAGTCCCTAGCCCGCTACGTCCCAAGATCCTCCAAGTAGAGGACCTTTGAGATGGCTCTGTAGCTTTCCAAACCTTGAGATCTTCGCGGGGGAAGCTCGAAACTACTGAACGTGATCTTTCGACGAAGACAAGAATGAATAACTATACGATGTCTGACAACACTGACAACACCCGTGATCTTGGCACGGTGGTCCGAGAATCCGACGCAGAAAAGAGGTCGGTGTAGGTCGTTCTGAAGGGCTACACTTCCTTCAACGGCAGGGTCCTATATCCTTTCCCTGACGTGTGCCTCATACAGAGACCACCGCCGCGTAAATTCAAAACGCGATCTCGACACAGCCGTCGAGAAGAGCCAGGGTGGCCACCCGCACACATTCTGAGGACTGCCCCTCGAGACCTTGCTGCAGAAACTCAGGGACTAACTGGGTTTCGGCAAAGTCGGCAGCCGTCCGACCTCGGCTGTTCGTCAAATCTCGCCGGGCCCCTGCTGCAATCAAGGCAGCCGCACCTTCGTACTGCGCGGTCTGCAGGGCTGCTATCAGCGGTGTGCAGCCGTTGGCGTGATACGACATGGCTGACATCGCCGTGGCCCGCCCGAATCGGTGCTGGAAGGACTTGGCCAAAACGACAAGCCGCCCCAAAAGGGTCAGGTCACGGTGGATGTC